CACAGAAGAGCGCCCTCCTCTGGACAACACTCTGACGAACATCTACACCTTATGAAGAAAGAACTTTCTTTTGAGGACAAGAATGTTCCCTTTGTGGACAAAGGAGACAGTTGGTTTGAGAGGGGCGTGAAGGAAGCCATCTATGTTAAGAAAGAAAAAAACAACCTTAAGCGGGGGGGTGTGTGTGTGTGTGTGTGTGTGTGTGTGGGGGGGGGGTGGACTCAGATTTCAGCCTTCAAAAAACCTACTATGCAGCGATAGAGTTGATCCCTTCCTGCTATCATTGCAACCCTAACCCCCTTACAAGTGAACCGAAGACCTCGCCTATTCTGCCAGGCCAACAATTCCCTTTAACGACCCCCTTTCAGAGACATAGACAGGTATGGAGCATTGCAGGCTAACAAAGAAGCCAAACGACCCCCATTCCAAAGAGGTGGATCCGTTTATCCGTTTCAATTTGCATGTTTTCTAAAAATAACAAGGCTTTGCTGGGCTGCTGTATAGAGCCTCGAACTAAACGCCATTCCGGACATTTCGAATTGAAAAAGCTTCCTGGATGGGAAGCGAAACATCTTCAAACTTGGAAACAAAGTCCAGTGGATTGTTTTTAACTCATTTGGAATGACTATGACCTGGATGACTGGGAATCTTCACCAGTAATGGGATGCCTCTATACAATAAATGCACAGAACCTATATTTGCATTTTTCATCTTTGTGTATCTCGCCGTCATTAGTGTTGAGTATTGAGGAGAGCATTGCAGCTGCGGGTCTCGACAGGCCGGTCCCAGTGTGCAAAGCATCTGCAGACATTCACATCTGAGGAAGAGTTTAAATGAAGAAGTAGGGCCTCTGGGCGCAGGATGCTCTCACTCTGGGGCAAGATGTGACTTGTCTCCTATTAATAGCACTTTGGGAGATAATTCCTGCCTTGTTATCTCAGCAGCCGAACCCAAGAAGACTTTCCAAAGACTGGTGTATAATGAGGCCTTCTTTCATCTCCTCGTCTGTGTTCGTTTTAAAGTCTACTGCAGCAATCTCTGCAGGATGCTACCACTGCTCAGAGAAGGACCACAGGCCTGCGAGGCGACGCCACAGAAAACCAAAGAAGTGAAATACGTCCATTTGGTGTGATGTGATGAGCTTATCACATGTTGTCAGTCGCTGCTTGTTTCCATTCAGACTTTGGATCTGATAACAAGCTCATAGTAGTTACTGAACGTTGGATGTGGAGTGTCTGAGGGTCAACAGGTTCAGGATTAGTTTAGAAAAAAAAGGCGACACACAGCTGGATGGATCATTCAGGTTTTTGATCAAAACATCAGGAATCAAACAAATATATAAAAGAAAAGAAAAGCAAATCAACTGCCAACATACCGAGATCTCCACCTAGAGAAGAATGCAGAGAGAGGAATGCGAGCCAAGGCACTTGTGTTACTAAACCAAAAGTTAAACATCATGTGTGTCAGAAAAGCAACAAAGCAGAGAATCCTAAAAAAACCTGACAGCGATGAAACACGGTGGGAGCAGCATCATGCCTCGGGGCCGCGTTTTTATATGGAGAATCAAAAGGGAGAAAACTGCAGGGTAAGTGGTAGAGGTGAACGTTTTAAAATTAATTCGAAGAATCCTTTTCAGCTTAAATGCCTGTAGTAGCTTAAAGGTATAGAGGACGATCTTTTATTTCCAGGTGGATCATCTTAATCAGTGGTCCTCCTAACTGTCAATAATGCTGGTGATATGTTTACGTAAGGCCGTCCTACGTGTTCGTCCTGTTAGCTATCATTTTCTGCACATGCACACTTTCAGGCGTATATCTGTGGTGAGCTACGGTCATTGAAGCTCACCTTTGAAAATGGCCGAGGGTCGTAAGAGAAGAAGTGTCTACGAAGTCTATGAGAAGAAAAGAAAGACCTCAGAAGAGGCAGATATATCCCAGAATGCTTTGCACGGAGAGTTCTCCTCGGAAAGCATTATGGGATTTATTTTTAGGATTTTCCCACTCTCTTCTCTTAGCACTGTAGTTTCTTCTCCACCACAGTGTGTCCTCCTCTCAGCTCATTTACAGACCTGCATAACATTGAGTAATCAAACCAGTAGAGTAGAAACCAGCTCCTTGGTCTAACCACTGTACAGTCAGAACCAGTGTTGTTCTCAGTCTCTATTTGTTCCTTCGCTCTGTTATGAAAAGCCTTCATAAACAATATTGTCCTCGTCTCTGTGTTTTGGGTTTCAACAACACAGAACAGTGATGCTTTGCAGGTTTCTTTTGTTTTCACACTTTACAGCTTCATGTATTAGCATCAGGCAAAGATCATCATCATCATCTGACTGGTTTCAAAGAATTAATTTATATTTTAGGAAACAGTTTCAGAAAAACAACTTGATGCTTTGGGGAAACGTAATTGCGGGCCTCATTTGCCTCTGGTAAGGCCATGGTTAGGATTCAATAGTCACAGAAGTGCTGGGCAGAAATGGCACCTAAGGGTTTGAAAAACGAGACCTTTGAGGAACTATGCAATGGACTGATGATAAAAAAAAAATATTTTTCTTTTTTTTGTGCACATCCTATTTCATCTGGACCTAAAGCTACAACAGCTTTTCCCTGACCACTTAAAGGAATAGTACACCCAAAACATGATTAGCCTTCATTTTCTACTCACCCCCATGCTGAACAACACTCTGGAGTACTTTTTTGATATCTCAAATGCATCTGGAGATCTGGGAGGCTTCTTGCTGTCTGCTGACATTCAAATAATGGAGGTCTGTGGCACCCGAGGCAGAAAGGTCCATAAAAGTCCACAAAAAACGTGTCAATATTCCTCCATACTGCTCGTCCAATGTATTCCAAGTGTCCTGAGTGGGTAGCGTCCATAATTTACTCGAATCGAAGTCATTTAGAATGTTTTTAGAGCATAAACAGTAGTGTATAGGATTTCCTAAAAGCACGTTCAGAAACCGCGGCAGACCAAACCAGATGAAAGTGCGCATTCAGCGTCTGCTCTGCCGATAATGCAAGCGTAGAAGAAGAAATGTGCTGTTTACCTGTGCAAAGAAAGAAACAACGAAAGAAAAATGTCTGAGGACTTCAGTGTTGAGGAAGAGCATGAGTTCTTTGCCGAGCTGAATGCGCACTTTCGTCTGGTTTGGTCTGCCGCGGTTTCCGTAGACTCGTGAACGCGCTTTTAGGAAATCCTATACACTACTGTTTATGCTCTAAAAACATTCTACTTCGTTTTGAGATCTCCAGATGCATTTGAGATATCAAAAAAGTACTACAGAGTGTTGTTCAGCATGGGGGTGAGTAGAAAATGAAGGCTAATCATGTTTTGGGTGTACTATTCCTTTAATATAAACAGATAAACTGGATGGTGGAAAGTTTTGTAAAAGTGAGTTGAGCTCACTTTATTGAGAGTTTTGATCATGATCTTTTCCTGTTTAGCTGTGACTCTATCCTGGAGAGAAATGTCAGCAACACCTTTGTTTCTAGATGTTGGAGCTTGGCCTGTTTTCCAGTGTAGTCCTGTTTCTCTGACTGTGACTAACTGGATGTGCTCTCTTCATCCTCTGACATGGGAGCTGGCTCGGAGCTCGTCTGCCTGGCTGTGTGTTTCCTGGACGGGGCCGCCTGTGGAGCTGGTTGACAGTTGCCTTTTGTATCTATGCTTCTTTTTCTATGTCTGCTTCTGTCTCCTTGAACCCCAGTGGGCCTCAGCAGATGGCCGCTCACACTGAGCCTGGTTCTGCTGGAGGTTTCATCCTGTTAAAAGGGAGTTTTTCCTCTCCACTGTCGCTACAAGCATGCTTAGTGTGAGGGATTGCTGAAGAGTCAATGAGTCGATGCAATCAACTGGTTTTCCTTAGATAGAAAACTTTGAATCAATCTGACTGGATGATCTGGTGAACTGAAAAGTGCCTTGAGATGAAATGTGTTGTGAATTGGCGCTATAGAAATAAACTGAATTGAACTGAATTGTTTTTATACATGACTAAGCTGATCAAAGCGCAGTGATGTCATTAAATGTCACTCAGTTTGGGGCCTAATAAAAGATTAACACTGCATTTATCAGAGAAAAAAAAAAAAACTTTGAATAGTTTTCTCAAGGTTTCCTGTCATTAGTGGCCTTTATTTGCACTCCAGTCTGAAAATGGGCAGCAGCAGAAACAATGCAGACATCTAGCAAAGATTGGAAATGGTAGACAAATAATAGCAAACTTTTCCAGAGGGAACCGTTTGTTGCAGGTGAGCTGTCACACACAGCCACACTTTCTGCATAATATTTGTCTTTGTGAGTGGCTCATAGTGAAAACCTCTACCATCGCTTCAAGCTTGACAGTTTCTTTAATTTGGCTTTAAGAATGTATTAGAAAATGTCTTGTGTTCCTTTATTGTTTGTGAGCAGAAGAGGCCACCAGAGAAAATAAGATGCGTCTGCATTTTGTTGCCCAATAATCGATTAAAGCTGATTTTATCATGTGGCTAATGGATGATAAATTGCTTTGGGGAGTGGTGGCCTACTGGTTAGAGCATTGCGCTTGGGTCCTGGAGGTTCTGAGTTCAAGTCCCACTCATTCCCACAGACTGCCACTCTGCGTCCCTGAGCAAGACCCTTAACCTAAACCTGCTCCCTGGGCGCCGCACAATGGCAGCCCACTGCTCCCCGAGGGGATGGGTTAAATGCAGAGAGTAAATTTCCCCGTTGTGGGACAATAAAGGGATTTACACATTAACAATTTGAAAGAAGTTACAGACCACACGTGTTTATTGAGCTTTTTAAGATGGTATGATTATCAAAGGTTTGTAACGTTAGTGCAGGGGTCACCAATGCGGTACCCGTGGGCATCAAAGGGCCCCCAAGGAGCACATGGGGTTTCCTCACTCCTCTGAAAAACAGAACGCCTCAGCAGTGGTTTCATTTCTTACTTTATTCTGTTGCCCTTCTTTATTTACATTTTGAATTATAGACCTATATCATTTCTTCTTTTTCATCTGAGATTCTTGAGAAAATGGATGCTAAACAATTGTGTTTGCACTTAGAGCACAATGAACTTTTATAAGAGTTAACGCTTATAAGATTAGGTGAGGTTATTTTGGACTTTCTCTATAGTCATTGTGCTGCTATATACTTAGGCTATTGGAGGACATGGGGACCAATTTTCATCAAATTCCTACTTCTTTACTTTTTCATTATTTGTTGGTTCAAGAAATAACTTTTTTTTCTCTCTCTGCTTTTTCTTATCATAGTTGCTCCATCTGCTCTGCTTAGCTGTGACACCATCCTGGGCGGAGACATCAGCTGGGCTGCAGCTGTCACCAACTTACATTGAAAATGATAGAATGGGGCTTTTTTCCGGGTTTAGTCTTGTTTCTCTCCTAGACATAGCTATTAGCTCGTCTTTTACTATAACTAACTTTTTGTGCTCTCTTTCATCCATTTAAGATGAAAACCTGATCAGGGGTCATTTGTTTAACTATTTCTTTACTACACAGAGGTATCAACTAAGCTAGTTTACAATTATCTCCTTTATGTCTGCCCCTGTCTTTTCAGATCCCCAGTATGCCTCGGCAAAAAGCTGCTCACACTGAGCTTTGATCTGGTTTCTTTGTGTTAAAGCAGAGTTTTTCTCTCCACTGTCACTGTGAAGGGAACAGTAATGCATCTTACTTCCCACTGTTGCCACATGTTCGTCCAGAACGAGTAAATTCTGCAATGAGTTGATAGAACCAGCTGGGTGGTGGTAGTGTGATGGTCTGGCTGCTTCATGACTTGGATGTGTCACAGTCTTGGTTCTGTAATTTTTGTTCTTTTCTCCATTTTTTCTAGTTTTATTGGTTTAATTCCTATTTTGTTGTATTTTCTGGATTTATTTTAGTTCTTAGGTTTTTATTTGTTGCCCTCTTGTGTTGGTCTCCTTTTCTAGACTCCTCTCACCTGCTCCCAATCAGCTCGTTGTTCAGTCTCCCATAAATACTCTCCTTGTGCAGTTCCTCAGCGCTGGCTCCTTGTGATTGTTTTCCCCTGATGTCGCCATGGTTCTGGTTTGTTTTACATTTTTCATGTTGGATTTTTGGATTCCTGCCTCACTTGTTTGTGAACATTTAATTAAATCTACAAAAACTCACCTCTGCCTCCCTGCCTCTGCATTTGGGTCCTCAAACCTCAACCAAACCCTGACAGGATGATGCTCTTCAGCAGAAGTTTCAAAGCAGAATCCATCGATCAATTCATGACCTTAACTTTAGTACATTTTTGATTGTGAAACATGGACAGTAACACAAATTTGACTATAGTCCACTTCTGTATGTCTAAAAAACAAAATGAGGTTTAGGATTTGCTTAGTCAAAGTTTAATCTTAAATACAATTTAGTTAATTCAGGCTGACCTTAAACAGACTGTTATGAGATGATGTTTGAATGAAGTGATTTATTTTGACATGACAGATAGCTGCTCAAGAACTCTTGGCAAAAAATCTGAACTATCCGTTAAAGAAGAGCCACATACATGTTTGTGTGATGGTCCAGTTCAAATGTGGCTTAGAAGTAACCAAAAAAGCATCAAATTAAAATTTGATTTGGTTTCATCTAGGCAGAAAAGCAAAAAACAAAATTATCCTCTGCTGTTTAGAAACAGATTTTTAAGTGCATTGAAATGCCAGCAGTCAACATTTAGCCAGGGTGACACTGTGCAGAGACAGATACTGACTGCAGAGGCTGGACATATTGATTCTCCAGGCTCTCAGTTTGATCAGCTTCTGGATAACTGGAGGGCAGCTCTGCCCTTGACTCCCTCCGATATACTGACCTAAAGGCACTGCAGGCATCAAACCAGACAGCTGCACTATTTCTGTAGCAGATACCATCTTGTTTACATGCAGCAGCCTCAGCTGAACCTGCAGGATGACCTTTGAAGTGAAATGAAGCATCTGGTTTCGTTGTTTTGATGCTTTAAAACCTACCAGCAGAAACAACACCCTGAACAGCATCGCCGAAACAAGTAGTTGTTTTTTTTCAGCTTTGACCCAATTTACAGAGCTATACTGTTGCCTGTAAGCCTAGATTTATCACTGCAACTGATCCAAATGCTAAAAAAGTAGCCAGTCAGGCAATGAGGTAAACAAAAATGAAAAACACTGGCAGCAAAGATTTAAGAGACTTTAACAACATCCAACTGATCAGTTAAAGAAACAATGTTTTGTTGACGTTTTTCCCTTATTTTAGCAAGTTTTGAAAACTTTCATCCCTCAGATTAGCCTCGTGAGACCATCCTGATCTCGCGAGCTTTCAAGGTTTCACTCGCTAATCAGTCTGGAGACTCTCCGTTAAAGAAAATTTGGAGCCGTTCACCAAAGGAACGTCCAATCAGCGTTGGCTTTGAGGCGGGTTGAGGTGTGACGCAACGAGAAGCGCGACAGTTCAGTCTAAAGAACATGGCGCCTTCAGCCGATGAAACTAGCGTTAGCGTGGCTATCGAGGAAGTTTTATCGGAATTACAGAGTATTTCTTCACTGAAAGAAGAGCAAAACACTGCTCTGGAGGCTTTTCTCAGAGGAAAAGATGTTTTTGCTCTTCTCCCGACTGGTTTCGGCAAGAGTAGCCTGGCTTGTGGTTGTGTTTTCGTCAACACTCTGTTAGTACGTCATATGCTTTGTTGATCTGATTGGTCTGGTTTAGAGCTCATCATAGAACTGAAACAGCTCTGGTTAATGTCACTAATGATATTCTCATGGCCTCAGTATGGAAGTAAATTTGTGTCGCTGGGATTTGAATAAAAAATGCCACTGAAATTTAAATGTTACATGTTTGTACTTACTGTACAGTGTTTAAATATATTCAGAACACATTTTTGACCTAAAAAAAAAAATTCATTGTCATTATTTCTACACAGCTGAAATTTCATTTGTTATTTTCTCTTCAAGCTAAAAATTCACATGACTATTTCAAAGTGATTATATTTTCAATACTTATTTTTCAGTTAAATTTTTCAGTGTTAAAAAAATCTGCATATAAAAAAATTCAACCTTTCAAAATTCAAACTCAATATTTTCAGCCTCCTGAGATTCAACTGGCTCTATTTCACTGTCTTAAATTCGGCGTCTAAATTCAGTGTAAAAAGGGAAGGGTTACTTCAGGTCACAGACATTAGCAATGGATTGTGGCGTCCAACACCCAGCCAATCCCGTTATGTTTTCTTAGTCACGTGACGTGACGCTTGTGGCACAGATTTACTTCCATACCTCAGATAATGGTGTTGTATGTATGTGTGTATAGGTTTATCAACTTCTTTTCTTTTTGATAAAGCTTGTAAGGCTGGCTCAGCTTATTCTGAGCTCTCTCTTCAGTCATTTTGCTGCTATATACTTAGGCTACTGGAGGACATGGGCACCACTTTTTTTTTAATCAAAATCCTACTTCTCTTTTTTTCACTATTTGTTGGTTCAACAATTAACTTTTTTCTCTCTCTGTTCTCTTATTATAGTTTCTGCAGCATCTGGTCTTGTGCTCTGCTTAGCTGTGAAACCATCCCGGACAGAGACACCAGCTGGGCTGCTTTTCTCAACAACCTCCAAAGAAAAGGATAGAGTGGGGCTTTCTTCAGGGTTTAGTCTTGTTTCTCTCCAAGAAATAGCTTTTGGCTCATCGTTTAATTTCATGCTTGAGAGCTGAATTGAGAGCTCATTTGCTTAATTATTTATTTACTACACAAATGTACCTTTTGACATGATGGAAATCTACTGAAATATGCAAGATGGCTGTCCATTTCAACTTATTTAGGCTTCTTATCAAACTAGAAAACCTGATAAATATGGTAGCTCTGAAACGTGACCAGACTAGCTGCAGGATGACTATTTAAATAATAAGTTTCTATTATTTTAAAGTACACAACCATTTTATTTTAATTGACAAAAATCATCTTGTCTTGAAAAAAAGCTTTCCTAATCTGGAATTGCTTGTTTACTCCCAAGTAGGCCTGTTGTGATTCTATTATTAGAGTCAGCGCATGTTTTATTAAAACAGGGCATTGATAAAGTCCAACTGTTACATTTCATTGTTTGTTTTTTGCTGTTTAAAAACACTCTTAGTGATCTTAACACTCTGAAAAAAACAAAAAAAAAACAGAGAAAGAACATTAGTTGAGTTTAATTAATGCTCTGGGTCTCAGTCAGCTGTGTGTTATTCCCACTTCGCATTTCTGACTCAGATGCAGGATATTAGGATGACAATCAAGGAGGTACTGGATGCAATTTTTGTACTTCTGTTTACATGATGAACATGGAAAAGGCAGACGACTATCTGCTTAACGTTGCAATAAAACAATTTATTCAAAATAAAAATTCTTCACACCTTTGTTGTCCTTGACTAGTGTCTTTCACATAGTGTCTTTTTTCATAGCATTGCTTTCTGTCGGAGATTGACTTTTAAACATTTTTTAAACTTGAGATGTTCAGGTTGAGGTTGGTTCCTCTTCAGAGAGGTAACCTGCTTTATCTGTTCCATACAATGGCTGAGGTGCAAACGCAGTGCAATTACACAAAACACATGCAAAAAAGCTGCAAGTCAAAATCTGTAAACTAGTTATTCAGATTGCAGATAAAATGGGGCCAGCTCAGAGTTAAGCGATGTACGGGATGCTCAAACAACTAAAAAAAGAATCAATTAAATATCTGGTACCATATGGGTTGTTGATTGTCTCCCCCTTGTGGTCTGGAGGACTTCCATTATGCTGAGCTACTTACTTTGCTTGTTTTTGCTCCGTCCATGTGTTTTTTGTGTTTGCATCATAGTGGGCTTCATGATGGTAGTGTGTTTCTCTGTTGCAGCATTCTTTCTTCGCATGTGCATCGTGAATTTCTTAATTATTGTGTTAGCTAGTCTATTTTTTGGTAATTTCTTTACATTTTTTACTTTCATGGCGTTTGGGACCCTCAGCGACCGTAGATCAGTTTTCTTGTCTGTTTAGGGTCATCGGCCCGATTGAACTCCTAGCAGGCCCCACGTTTCAACCGTCTTGTTTA